ACTATGTTATCATATATCAGATGTGTAATTTGATTGTAAATCTAAGTAGCAGGAGAATTATAAGTACACCATGACGAAACGATTCCAGCCTGTCACATAAGCACTCATTGATCCGTTTCCATGTTGGAAGGAACATCGCGGTCACAAATCAGGTAATTCGGTAGCAGCGTTTCTCCGACTATCTTACCGTGAATGCTGGTGTCATGTAAATGAACACGTCCAGCTCCAACTGTTTATTTCCGCAATCAGCATATCTAATGTAGACATGTTGGAATCACCTGTGAGACATTGAAAGCTCAATGTGTGAGTTGAACATTTGCTGTTGTACACTGACCTTGTGATTTTCCATTTGAACAAGTAATGGAATGCTGATTTTAACTTCACAGTAACCCGAGTGCCTAGATCTCATAAATAATGAAGATGATTGTGCCGAGAAAGATGGCGTATTGCCACTTGGTCCCTGTTTATTCCATCACATATATTGATCGGTGGTCACTGGTTATTCACACGTCGTCAATTTTATTTACAGATTCGGTCTCACAATAGTCCAGTATGGTTTGGAGTTTGCATGCATTCAAGTGGTGAAGCAAACATCGACGTAGTGCCTTCACAAATCGAAGGAAGCATCAGCAAACAAGCATTTTAAGGATTGGTTGCTCACTCAAAACAATAAGTGTTAGTGTATGCATTGCGAATATTTTTTTAATGAATTTGTAGAATGATGGTGTACGTCGTTATTAGTACTGCTGTAATGATAGACCGAATGGCAAAAGTGTACATTTGTCATAATGTAACTGCCTAATGTATAAGATGTTACGTGCAAGTCACACCATTGTCTACACTGACTCGTGGTATCGCAACAATTACCAATATGTGTGATGGAGAACACATTCAGGCTGGAGATAGAACAATATGTTTAATATGAGTAAGAGCAAGTTATACACAGAGCGACCACACCTGTGAGGCTGAAGCATGCCACCCGATTGCATTCAATTGAATTGGTTGTTCCCGCTTCTCCATTGTTGCGATTTTCTCCACGTCGAATGTTCAATATCAATTTTCCCAGTTGTTTGGTGTTGAGCTTTGACGATTGTGTGGTTACGGCCGAATGCCACTACAAGTATAACTAACACTATGTTATCATATATCAGATGTGTAATTTGATTGTAAATCTAAGTAGCAGGAGAATTATAAGTACACCATGACGAAACGATTCCAGCCTGTCACATAAGCACTCATTGATCCGTTTCCATGTTGGAAGGAACATCGCGGTCACAAATCAGGTAATTCGGTAGCAGCGTTTCTCCGACTATCTTACCGTGAATGCTAGTGTCATGTAAATGAACACGTCCAGCTCCAACTGTTTATTTCCGCAATCAGCATATCTAATGTAGACATGTTGGAATCACCTGTGAGACATTGAAAGCTCAATGTGTGAGTTGAACATTTGCTGTTGTACACTGACCTTGTGATTTTCCATTTGAACAAGTAATGGAATGCTGATTTTAACTTCACAGTAACCCGAGTGCCTAGATCTCATAAATAATGGAGATGATTGTGCCGAGAAAGATGGCGTATTGCCACTTGGTCCCTGTTTATTCCATCACATATATTGATCGGTGGTCACTGGTTATTCACACGTCGTCAATTTTATTTACAGATTCGGTCTCACAATAGTCCAGTATGGTTTGGAGTTTGCATGCATTCAAGTGGTGAAGCAAACATCGACGTAGTGCCTTCACAAATCGAAGGAAGCATCAGCAAACAAGCATTTTATGGATTGGTTGCTCACTCAAAACAATAAGTGTTAGTGTATGCATTGCGAATATTTTTTCAATGAATTTGTAGAATGATGGTGTACGTCGTTATTAGTACTGCTGTAATGATAGACCGAATGGCAAAAGTGTACATTTGTCATAATGTAACTGCCTAATGTATAAGATGTTACGTGCAAGTCACACCATTGTCTACACTGACTCGTGGTATCGCAACAATTACCAATATGTGTGATGGAGAACACATTCAGGCTGGAGATAGAACAATATGTTTAATATGAGTAAGAGCAAGTTATACACAGAGCGACCACACCTGTGAGGCTGAAGCATGCCACCCGATTGCATTCAATTGAATTGGTTGTTCCCGCTTCTCCATTGTTGCGATTTTCTCCACGTCGAATGTTCAATATCAATTTTCCCAGTTGTTTGGTGTTGAGCTTTGACGATTGTGTGGTTACGGCCGAATGCCACTACAAGTATAACTAACACTATGTTATCATATATCAGATGTGTAATTTGATTGTAAATCTAAGTAGCAGGAGAATTATAAGTACACCATGACGAAACGATTCCAGCCTGTCACATAAGCACTCATTGATCCGTTTCCATGTTGGAAGGAACATCGCGGTCACAAATCAGGTAATTCGGTAGCAGCGTTTCTCCGACTATCTTACCGTGAATGCTAGTGTCATGTAAATGAACACGTCCAGCTCCAACTGTTTATTTCCGCAATCAGCATATCTAATGTAGACATGTTGGAATCACCTGTGAGACATTGAAAGCTCAATGTGTGAGTTGAACATTTGCTGTTGTACACTGACCTTGTGATTTTCCATTTGAACAAGTAATGGAATGCTGATTTTAACTTCACAGTAACCCGAGTGCCTAGATCTCATAAATAATGGAGATGATTGTGCCGAGAAAGATGGCGTATTGCCACTTGGTCCCTGTTTATTCCATCACATATATTGATCGGTGGTCACTGGTTATTCACACGTCGTCAATTTTATTTACAGATTCGGTCTCACAATAGTCCAGTATGGTTTGGAGTTTGCATGCATTCAAGTGGTGAAGCAAACATCGACGTAGTGCCTTCACAAATCGAAGGAAGCATCAGCAAACAAGCATTTTATGGATTGGTTGCTCACTCAAAACAATAAGTGTTAGTGTATGCATTGCGAATATTTTTTTAATGAATTTGTAGAATGATGGTGTACGTCGTTATTAGTACTGCTGTAATGATAGACCGAATGGCAAAAGTGTACATTTGTCATAATGTAACTGCCTAATGTATAAGATGTTACGTGCAAGTCACACCATTGTCTACACTGACTCGTGGTATCGCAACAATTACCAATATGTGTGATGGAGAACACATTCAGGCTGGAGATAGAACAATATGTTTAATATGAGTAAGAGCAAGTTATACACAGAGCGACTACACCTGTGAGGCTGAAGCATGTCACCCGATTGCATTCAATTGAATTGGTTGTTCCCGCTTCTCCATTGTTGCGATTTTCTCCACGTCGAATGTTCAATATCAATTTTCCCAGTTGTTTGGTGTTGAGCTTTGACGATTGTGTGGTTACGGCCGAATGCCACTACAAGTATAACTAACACTATGTTATCATATATCAGATGTGTAATTTGATTGTAAATCTAAGTAGCAGGAGAATTATAAGTACACCATGACGAAACGATTCCAGCCTGTCACATAAGCACTCATTGATCCGTTTCCATGTTGGAAGGAACATCGCGGTCACAAATCAGGTAATTCGGTAGCAGCGTTTCTCCGACTATCTTACCGTGAATGCTAGTGTCATGTAAATGAACACGTCCAGCTCCAACTGTTTATTTCCGCAATCAGCATATCTAATGTAGACATGTTGGAATCACCTGTGAGACATTGAAAGCTCAATGTGTGAGTTGAACATTTGCTGTTGTACACTGACCTTGTGATTTTCCATTTGAACAAGTAATGGAATGCTGATTTTAACTTCACAGTAACCCGAGTGCCTAGATCTCATAAATAATGGAGATGATTGTGCCGAGAAAGATGGCGTATTGCCACTTGGTCCCTGTTTATTCCATCACATATATTGATCGGTGGTCACTGGTTATTCACACGTCGTCAATTTTATTTACAGATTCGGTCTCACAATAGTCCAGTATGGTTTGGAGTTTGCATGCATTCAAGTGGTGAAGCAAACATCGACGTAGTGCCTTCACAAATCGAAGGAAGCATCAGCAAACAAGCATTTTATGGATTGGTTGCTCACTCAAAACAATAAGTGTTAGTGTATGCATTGCGAATATTTTTTTAATGAATTTGTAGAATGATGGTGTACGTCGTTATTAGTACTGCTGTAATGATAGACCGAATGGCAAAAGTGTACATTTGTCATAATGTAACTGCCTAATGTATAAGATGTTACGTGCAAGTCACACCATTGTCTACACTGACTCGTGGTATCGCAACAATTACCAATATGTGTGATGGAGAACACATTCAGGCTGGAGATAGAACAATATGTTTAGTATGACTAAAAGCATGTTTTACGTAAATGAGCAAAATCCGCTTTGAACCAACTGTATGTTTGCAGCGCTTGTTGAATTGACTTAGTGACCTTGAATTTCCAAAACCCTGCTGATATGGTCGTGCTTAAATTTGAATCTCGGCACTGTATCTTTTAGTTTTAGATTGTTTCACTAATGTTTATGCCTTCATTTTTAAGTGGCTTGTTTTCCTTTTTTTTCACTGTCCATAGCCCACATTGCATTTAAGTTTAACCAGATGCTGATTTGTAACTTTTGACAATGCTTTCTCAATTCTTTTTTACTCTCTTCACGCTAGGCAGTAAGTAAGATTCCTAATCAATTCACTTTTTGATTCGTTATCTCTTGTAATTTCTCTTAGTTTAATTGTGTTGTCTATCACCGAATGAAAGAATTTGAGGGACCATTAAAAACTATGAAACACTAAGTTTCTGTTTTACCTTAGCTTGAAACACAGTCTGCACTCACAATTTCAGAGAATATTAAACTTATTCCTTCAGGTCTCGTGACGAGCCACTAATATTCCCTTGTCTATTGGAAATAAAAGTTCCGTGTGTATTCTGTGAGTTCAAAAAGAAAACACATAAAAAAACCTAGTTTTTTGTTAAATATGGTGATTGTCTACTCATTATATGAACGATAGTATGTTATTTTATATTTCATATCCAGTGAACCTCCCGAAGTCCAATATCTTGGAGATAATATCTATCCTGTTATAAACTCGGTCGCTTTAAAACAACACGGTAATCGTGGCAGTGGTGGAACAGTATGGCTACGTGCAAAGTTATTTCAATTCGTTGAAAATTATCGACCTGCATATTATGGTACATGGCGACGTCGTAGTCGTATTGTTACTGGTCGTAGACCATTTGCTCGTGATGATTATCAACTTGATTATTCCATCGATTCAGATGATGAATGGGAAGAAGAAGAACCTGGTGAAAGTATTACACAGTCTGATGTGAGTTAACTCATTCGAAATGATGAATGTATAGTTTTGCTTTGTTAAAACGACAATTTAATCAATACATAATGTAAAATAACGAAATATGATTCCCGATAGTATGTACTTTATATTTGCACTGTTAGATCTGTCAAATGGGTGATATATATTCCAGATTACTAACTGAACACTTCAAACTAGAAAAACGGATTATGAATGTTTATTTATAAACATGAATGAATGAGTAGGAAACAATCCATAAAGTTATATCCGTCATTCTTGTAACCTCTTCTAATATATTTAATCAAATTTTATTCGCAGTTAGTGGTACGTTATTGTTTTTTTGTTCTATTTTAAAGGGCAAAAGGAACTTTCCAGTTAATTTCATATGTATTTATTCATTTAAATGTTACGACTGTGAAAATACATTGTAGATAGGACGGGTCTTTTCGCCCAATATTTGGAAAATTTTACACCTTAATTTTTAAATCTGAAAACTATCTAATGCCAAATTGTTGGGTATCGGTTTGAAAGTGAAATATTACTAGATTTTCTATGTTAGGGCTTTAAACATGACATTGGCATACATTTTCGGCTACATTTATTATTTCAGATTGATGAGATTGATAAATCGGGTGGTAGACTTGTATGTACTTTGTCTTTCAGCCTATTTTTACGCCCATTTTTCGCTGATTCGCCTATTTGTTTCTTTTTTGTGATCAATTCAATGTAATTCCACGTGATTTTAATTGTGATCGGAGTTATATGTGGTTTTTCAAGTTGCTTAGTTGAATATACTTAGTACCTTTTTTTACAATGGATAGACTCATGTAGTGTTTTCGCTCGCAAATTCTTAGCCTTATTGGTGTTTTCTTCGCCTACTGGAAAGAATTTAGTTGTTATTTATTTTCACACAAAAAGTGACCGTTTGTTACAATGATAAAACATAAAATTTTGAATCTCGTCTCTTTCTAATGACTTCTAGGTGTAATTTTGGCAATAAAAATGTTAACCTTCATCAACTGAAGAGTAGTAGCCGGATGATGTCTATAGTTAACTATCGTCCATCCCGATGCGCTACATTGGCTGTTTTGATAATAGACTAGCAAAGTTTTAACGTTATTAGACTAAGTCCTCGGGTATCCATTAATCCACTGACCGTTAGTTCCAGGTACATTGACAGGTGTATATCTTCTGATTGAGTGCCTTAAAATAATCGTAGTTGATGTGAGTGAAAACATGAGTTGAAAGGTCTCATAATCAGTCATTTGCAGTGAAGTAAACGTATTTATTCTTCACACCGTTCATATGATCGTTTTGCACATTTCATACCAAGAGTTGATTTGTTTCTTCAGAATTACAATCTTCATGCCTAATTATTTTCCACTACTTTTGATATTGTTATGTTTCCTGTTTCTTATCTTGTTAATTTGGTCTTATTTCGTTTGTGTAATATGTGACAGTTTAGACCGATAAACATTTTGAATTTAATTCGAATTTTACCTTAACTGCTCGTCAACTGACTTATATTAGTAGTGCCATGTAAATGACTGTAATTCAGTTAATCCTTTCTATTTCAATTATTTCGTTCACCTGTCCATCCTGCTAATTATATGAAAATTGTGTATACCATGCGGTTTTTGCACAGAATAATTCTATTAAATATAATATATTTTTGTATGACAGTTATACATAGATTATAATCTCGAGTATACCGGAAGAATATGCAGGACAGTAACTGCTTTCCATATTAAAAAGTTGCTCTCTATCATGATGTAAAACCAAACTATTCACATAAATGGAAAACGCGGATTATTTACTACATTCTAAACCACTGGCAAGATAGAACAAAATCCAGCGAGAATATCTCCATAAGTTTGTATTCTGATTCAGTGGAGCATGTAAATATTTGAAATACATCTTATACTACACGTGCATTTGAGACTAAACTAATAATTCCCTGTGGTTATTGATTGAGACGAACTATTGGTGTTTTGGCATCACTACGTGTTCATTTTAAATTATTTCACTTTCCGCGATTCGGTCATTAAGTTTCAATCATTATAAAGTTATTCAATTCATTTTGGTGATTTTTTCTCAAATCTGATTTGCAAACTTGCTCCCCTAACTAAACATTATGATATCGTGGTATACCTTGTTCTCACCCATGATGTAGGCTCGAATTTCTGAAGAGAGCATTATTTTTCACAAGATCGCTTGTGAGTATCCATTCGCAAGAAACCTACGTTTAAGAAATCTCATTAAACTCTTATAGTCATTCAATTTGTTTTATTGGTCCACTTCTTATGTAATAAAATTTTCATGTCCATTCTAATTTCATTTCTGTTCATTCAATCCGAAAATGCATCATTTTACTTGATGTGTTACTTTTGACAACTATAAATTCTATGCTTCTCAAATTTCAATGTGTTAGTTCTAGTTGAAGTTGACATAACTCACGATTGAAACTGTTCGATATTTTCTAATATTTTTCCACCGATCTCACTATTATTATTATTATTATTATTATCCCAGAGTTCAACTAGAATCGTTAGATGACGAAAAAGCTAACGACAGAGAGAGTATGCAAGAATATCACTTTATCCAACGTATGCCACTATGGTTCATTCGCTCCAAGCACTCAACAACATCTAGCTGTTAAAGCACGATTTCGTATCACCCTCCAGCTGTTGAGGTTTGACCAGTTAACCATGAGCAGCGTAAAACCTGGTACATGTATGCATCAGTTTAAGTTACCATATCACGTCATAACAAAATAAATTTTCAAGAAAAGTGCTAGAATAGTAGAAATAGTAACAGTATCAGTGATAGCAGAAAAGACTAGGCATAAATATTCTCTATTATATATTCACGAAAGAATGAATTTGGGAAATAATTACAAGTATTTTAAAACAGAAGTGAATAGATCCAAGGTATTGTGACCGATTTCGAACCATGTCCCTCAATATCTTCCTCTATTAGTTACAATAATTGAGGTTCAAAGTATCAAGTAGTGCATCACTACCCTTTTTCACACCACGCGTAATTAATGGATAAGTGCGGAAAGTTGTATACAGGCTAACTGACTGCTGCATTCATTACTTCATTTATATCACATTTCCGTTATCAACTATATTTAATGTATAGGTTTTTATTAGTATATTGTATTTATTTTCTGAGCCAGAATGAAGATGAAGAAGACGAGGATGAGGAAAAAGATGGTGATGAAGATGACGATGATCAGTTCTTTGTTCCACACGGTTATTTATCTGATGATGAAGGTGTGGCTGCAGAAGAAAGTGAAGGTCCGATCCCTGATGAAATGAAGCAGTTGCGTCAACGGTTATCTGTTGCAGAGTATGAAGCAGCTCATCGTCGTGGACTTCAACGTTTAAAACCATTATTACTAGGACCTTTATGGTTGCCTGAACCAGTTGAACGTTGTATGCCAAGCAGTAACGCAACTACTAATAATACTACTAGTGCTGCCACTAATAATAATAATCATTTCGAAGAGAATAAAGAAAACATCGAATTACCGGAAAGATTTATTCTCAGTAAGCAGACCAATGAGAAAACTGAATCCCAATTAATGAAATCTGTTTTAAGCGTCTATCGCGTAAGTGTATTTCGCATAGGATAGAAACAGTTTTTTATTACGTATCATACTCTGTTTTAATATAATATATTATCTGTCTAGTGGTGTATTTGAAGTGTATCTGGATGCCCAGTACACAAATCTAGTTTAATTTTAAGTTCTTCGTTGTCATATCACATCACAATATCATCAGTATAATTTTCTGGGTTCCATGAAAATGCTCATTCATGCGGGATAACGTTGCTGAAAGTGATCCATCTCGGATGAGGTACTGTTTATTGCCGAAATCCATAAAGCAGTGTTAAACATCTTACACTTTATCTGTTTTTTTACTGATGAAACTTGGATTTTTTGATGCAACTGCGATAGTTGTTTTCTTTTATACAATAGATGCTACAGAGCAATACCGTAAACTACATAACCGAGAGATTTATTATCATTTCTAAAAAGAAGTGTAGTGTTTTGTTAACTGTTACCTATTCGATTAATGCTTTTCACTCAACTTGACTAGTTGAAGTCACTAACTTCTAGCCTGAGCCATGTTGATAGATGCAGATTACTTGGTTGGGGTCCGCGTGACTTTCGTAACCAATGATTGGAGATTATGGGTGACATGGCTCACAATTGATCACAATGGCGTAGGTGTATACACTCTTTGTCTTCCTTTAAACTTGATATATTTCTTTCTACGAACTAATTCTTTGTTTCTTTACTATATCCTTATATGCAATCTTTCTGTCACACATTACCACCATTGAATTGACTATTTCTATGAATTCGGTGTTCATCTTGTTGTGCTAATGAATTATGGCAACTTGGACCGATGCATATATGTGTCTGGTCCTACGTCAAAGCTGACTAACAAGATTGAGTTGCAAACCAAATATGTGCAAAAAGAAATCGTGATCCATCTCGATCATCAGTTTTATCTACTACATCGTACTCAGCTAACGTACTAAACATGTTTATGAACAGATAATACGCCTTGTTTTCTCTGAGCAGTACTGCACATGGTATACATTAATAATTTAATTTCAATCAGTGAAACAATCACACACTATTATATTGTAATAATTTGTAAATAACTTGGTGTAGACCATTTTATAGTTCGGTAGAGAAATATCAAATTTATAGTTTCGATGTTTTTGTATAATACTAATTTATTCATATTTACACTTTTTGTTTGACCATAGGTGCATTTATGGACAATAAATTTTCCGATTTCTGTTAAACCAGATATTGGTGCCACTACTACGACTTCAAGAAGACCGAAAAAATCTGTCCCAGAAGAAGGTTACTTCATATTAATGAAATTTCGGTGTAATGCTAAAATATCTTACATGTAACGGTTTATTATTTGCTGGAGGGGAAGTGTTAAGAGAAAGAAAGAACTTAAAACTTCCGAGGTATTGTTGTTGGTTGCCAGATGTGAAGATAGTTGTCGATTCCCGTTTACCCATACCACGGAAGGATGCTTCTTATTGATGAACCTGGGGGAAGGAGTGGAAACTGAATTTCTATTTTGCCATTGAAATGGACACCAAATAAGCGAATGTCGATGGGAATCCCGATAAGAACTTGTTCATATTTCAGATTTATAGTAATATCTATACCGGGAAGATAACGAGTTGCTGTCGCGTCTCTAAATACATAAAGGGTGTATTACATTTGCTCCTTATACTAGCTGGGTGAAGTCAAGTGAATCATCAAGGTAGGATCGTATAAGCGTATTTTAAAGACAGCATACATCGATGGAAGAAGATTCTAGGGTCATAGCCAGTGATCTCTGTTGTTCTGTCTAACATAGAGTTCGAACATTGAAAGCTACAACACATAGTTCGAAGTGAGGTTTTAGAAGATCTGAACTCGAATCGTTAGTACTAACAGCACGTGCTGAGGGAGTCAAATACAAAAGGTCAGAGTTGGTAGAAGCGATATTTGGTGATGAAGATGGGGTCTGATTATGATCGGAAGGTGAACTCGACATAGCCAAATGGATCTTATCAGTTTCTACTACTGAGGGTGTTAAACATGAATACAATATATTAAATGCTCTTCAAATAAACACTAATTTTTATGGTCCTTAACATGAAACTGTGATTTGAACTGATGATAACTAGCAGCGGTTGATTTGGATGTTTGGCTATGTCATTCAAAACCAACTTTGCTTTGTCAGTTTGATGGAAGCAGAATGTTTTTGCCTACAAACTTTCACGCATAAATTCTTGAACTGAAGATCTTAAGAATAAAGATAAAATTACCAATTGCTATAATATTTATAAGTTAGTTTTCGGAACACCTTGTTTCTCATAAGTCAAATGCCCTTAAAATATATCCGAAGTCAAAAGGTATCCACTTAAATACAGTGACTGAGTGGATTGATTGTTTCACCGAGGTATAAATATATATATATATATATATATATATATCCAAAGTTTAATTTAATTAAGAAAACTATCATATTATTACTAATTCTAATATTAATAATTTCTATAGCATTGTTTCACTTTATGTGGGTAATTTGTACTTGATTTTTTGATAGCGATGGCGTATTTTATTCAACTTGTTCATCGAAGTCCTTTGGGAAAGCATAAATTAGCTTTTGAGTTCCGTGTTTTTTGGCATCGTCATACTACTGGCATCCTACCAGAATGCTTACAATATATGGAATATAAAAAATATAATGATTCTGCAGTGGGTTTGTAGAACTATGGTCTAATATGATATTAGTACTGCTCTAATAATAGACCTAATCCTAAATTTGTAGATTTGTCATGATATAACTGCCTAATCTATAAGATCTTACGTGGAAGTCACACCATCGACTACGCCAACTCACTGTATCGTATCAATTACCAATACATGATGTAGAACAAGGTTAGGCTAGAGAAAGAACAATATATTTGATATGAATAGAAGATACAAAGTAACATTGAGATGGACCACGCCTGCATGGTCGAGCCATGCCACTCGATCAACTCCAGTCCATTCAATTCCTTGTTCCCGCCTTTTCCATAGTTAGGTATTTCTCCGTGCTAAATATTGAATATCTATTTTCTGAGTAGTCTTTTGTTCAGCTTTGAAGATTGTGTGGTTATGGTCCAATGCCACTACACTACTCTCCCACCAGAATCAACGTGATGTTGGTTCGATACCAAATTGGATGGGATCGTCGCGCGCCGGAGGTTACCAAGGATAATAAGAATCCTCCGGGTATTGGTAAGCTGAAAGATAAATCAAAAAGAAAGCGGCAGCATCTGGTCGGGAAATACATGTAATAATCTTAAAATATCTGCTTTCATGCTTAACACGCTTAAAATGAAAACTTGGTTGAAGATTATTTGAACTATAAAAAATGGGATTACAATAATAATAATAAAACGATGCGTGTTAATAACTTAACTTATAGGTAGTAATTATTTTGTGTTTAGAAATATTAAAATAATGAATATTGTAGAAATGTTAATATTGTTATTACGTTTGGTTTAAATTATTAACTCAAATAACCTATATATCGGTAAGCTGTCCATATGTGTTGATTTCCAATTGCATCTGTGTTAGTCGGCTAACTGAAGGAACAAAAGTATTACCGTGGAGAATTCCAACTAGTGTTCCAGTTAGTTTGATACGGTTTATTTAGTTACGGGGAGATTTTCTCAACCTCATTTTTACTTGACCGTGATAGAATTTAGTAATACTACTAATACACATGAATGGTTATCAAAAAAAATTTAAATACGTGAGTGATAATTATATGAATTTTGGACAGATAGCTAGGAACAAATCGTTAAACATGAGTGTATTCGTAAGAGACATGCTCTAGACTCAATGTTCTGATCTGTGGCAGACTATTTATTTATTTATACTTGCCGGCTGATTGGACATACAAGTTAGTTGCAAGTATGCAGTTTATCATAAGGCGGAATACGATTTAATTGAGATATAGTGGTTATAAGTTATTAAAATCAGTTAGGCCTGTGTCATATTACGAAGTGATGTGGTGCTGCAAGATGTATTTAGCTAAATAAGTTTTTACAAGATGATTAATAGTGAGTGATGCTCATGTGATTATCAGGGAGAACATAAGTTGTAACCAGGGGGAGTACACTCCCAACTCATGTCTATCATAATGGCTTGAACCTTAGTCAGTGTTGGGGTAAATTCGACATTGATGTTTTCAGTTTACAGGAGATTTGCTCGACTGCTTATACTGATTATTTGCATGCATGATTGTGTCGCTAAACCATCAATTAGACTGACAAGGTTTTGAGATATTTACTGAATGAGCAACTGATAGAGAAACATACTGTAATCATCTGTGATGGATGAAGATACCAAGAAAACAACACCATTTAATGGTAATTATAAGTCAATTTGTTGACCGATTTCCTTAATAGTTTTATTAATTTTATCAGTCATAATACGTGATTGTCAAGTTATGACAATGCTTTATGACGATATCCTGAAACTATTAAATTTAACTAGTTATAGTGTTGATTGAAGATTAGTCAGTGGAAAAATAGGTATTGTTGCTTTAGGTGAATCAAAATCATCAGAAATTTATAACGTTAAAGAATCCGAGACGCCTAATTTAATTATAAATTTCAATTCAGAAATATTCGTTTAGTGTTAATTCTAGTAGGCTACGGAGTTTTGATTTTAAACGTTTGTTTAGCCAACAGCTACCTGGGGATTTAGTTATTTTACTAGTGCAGTTGATAGTACCTAAATTTTTAATCTTATTATCTAAACTATGTTCGCATTTTAGGCTGCTAATATGATAAACCAATCCATAAACCCAAATACGATTAGCAACAACGACTATGATGGGTTTATTGATAAATGTTAAAGGCGATTCAGATGATTTCTAAATTCAAAAGACATGAAGATATAGTGTAACGTATGTACGGGCCAGGTTAACATGCAGGTTGTTGACGTATATAAAAATTTAAAAACAATGAACATGACCAGAAAAATACTTTTAAAGTTGAGACTGCTTATGGAACTTCAGGCAGGAATATGACGAGTTATAAACATTCCATAAGAAGTTACTGCATTTAGCCTAGGGACACTTACAAATATATGGCAAAAGGAACCGGAAAACATATACATGTTAAGTAAAAAAAATCATCAAGTAAAATAGTTGAACTCGCCTGGATTATTTTTGAAAATTAGATTATTCAGTGGACGACATATATAACGCCATTCGTGAGGAGTAGTAATGATCCAAAAGCATCCAGAATAAAACATGCAGTATGGCAATTAATTCCATGGTGCTTGATGCTGTTGACGTTTTTGCCACTCGCTCGGATCAGAACAACCGAATGAATCCAGATAACTGTGTGTGCCATTTAAAATGAACTTATGATTGCAGAAAACTTATAGCTGGAACTCACCGTATGTTTTTGGAGTAGTCATCCTCGTTGTTTGGCAATGGAACTCGAGAATATGAAATTAGGCAGGCAGTGGTCGGAAGAAAAGATATTACAGGATAGTGCATCGTTTAAAACAGGATGAGGTGTTAAGTGAAGGAACACTGAGAATTAGATCCAGATAACTATTAAGTCCTTGATCGCATTGTTAGTCAATGTATATTTACGCTATTTACAGGTCATATTTGCTAGAGCTTGATGTTTAAACAAGACTATGTCGCTGAAGCATGTAAATGCTATTACAGCTTGTTAACAAACCATCAAAGCTAATTAGTAAATATAGACGACCAGTTTTTATTATCGATTGAGCTAGTTTGTCATGAGGACTAATCAATATAACATTACGATAATGCATGTGAGCACTAATCAGAGGACTATTAGAATACAGTGTTAACATAAATATAAAATCGATCGAGAAAGTTGAAGTGGAAATAAGGATTAATAATAATAGGTTGCGTTTCTTTAGTTGGGCTCACCAATGTAGAACTATGGTCTACTATGATATTAGTGCTGCTCTAATAATTGACCTAATCCTAAATTTGTAGATTTGTCATGATATAACTGCCTAATCTATAAGATCTTACGTGGAAGTCACACCATCGACTACGCCAACTCACTGTATCGTATCAATTACCAATACATGATGTAGAACAAGGTTAGGCTAGAGAAAGAACAATATATTTAATATGAATAGAAGATATAAAGTAACATTGAGATGGACCACGCCTGCATGGTCGAGCCATGCCACTCGATCAACTCCAGTCAATTCAATTCCTTGTTCGCGCCTTCTCCATTGTTAGGTATTTCTCCGTGCTAAATATTGAATATCTATTTTCTGAGTAGTCTTGTGTTCAGCTTTGAATATTGTTTGGTTATGGTCCAATGCCACTACAGGTTCATCAGTCTCACGTAGCGGTCTTTTTGTATTTACTGGTCCAGTTTGGGATAGTTTACCATTAAGTCAATCACTTGTGTTATCCAAATTATCTCAGATCGCGGTTTTCACTGAGGGAAGGTAATTTACCTTGCGTTACTTTCTGCAATTATTTTTACATTTTCATAGTTTAAATCATGAGCTTATCTCAGTTAGTCTACTATTGGGAACCTAGAAGTATTGGGCAGCCGTTTCTTCTCATTATGAGGCTCTTCAGCAGTGCTCATCCACGACCCCGGATCCAGGAATCGTTCATGATGGTTTAACTTTTAGATCACTGATGTCGGCATGCAATAGTGATAATGCCCAGCTTCAACGAACTCACGATATTGCGCGACCTTCATTGATTGCCTGCTGTGGATAATTGTTACACCCATTGATTTTCACAGGCCATAGCCCACTAGAACTCGTATTCAGTGTGATGTAAGCTTTCATCTGCCATTTGTTGGGTAACCTAACTCTAACCCCACTTTAGGTCTACTCAAGATTGAATATTAACTGGTCGTTGTTAAGTCTCGACTCGGTTACTCCTACTGTCTTTTAATATTCTTTGGCCCTCTATTTTCCCAGTTCCTAAATCGGAATACGAGTTGGCCAGGGACATAAGTGTTTTCTCATAAAACAACAAATTTAATAAGTTGATGTTACGGTAAGAAAAATTCTAGTAGACTTATAATTTTATACAGGAAAGTTCTAGAGGATTCTCCATTGATCCGCTAGGATAAACTAGCTGAAAATGAAGCAATCAGTGTGCAGTGGTGTAATTCTGTGTGGAATATGCTTTGATTTAATCTATGTACGGTTACACGACCGTGTTGATCCAGTCACTTTTTGCATAATAAATACGTTTTTTTTATCAGAAAGAGGGTATTGTGGAGGTCGTAGTAAGTTAGTTGTTGAATTCATAATGTAATTAAAGCTAGACCAACATGGAAGCGTTGGACGGCCTTTTAATCGTAGTATGGGACTCAGCAGTAAGTATCCACAATTCCGCTATGGAGGTTTGAACTTTTGGATACCGGTTCAGTGGTCTAGAAGTTAGGCGTCCGCACGGGAGACCGAAGGTCCTGGGTTCGAATTCTGCGACCGGGATCGTGGATGCGCACTGCTGATGAGTTCAATATCAGGACGAAATGTCCGCCTAGTGCTTGCACGTTTTCCATGGTGTTCTAGATATAATTGACTCATGAAATCAACTATTAAATATGTTTGTCTTTTTAGGTGATCCGATGTATGTATGAATGACTCAACTTTTTATAGATTCTAAATCTTGATATATTTACGCTGGTGTCATTTTCTTTATTGTACCCATTAATCACATGTTTTTAGGTGGATGGTTAACTTAGAAGTACTTCAGAAATATGCTTCGCGTCTTTGTAATCTGTGCAATATTCAAGAATTAAGTGGTGGTATTGCTAGTAGTTTGGACGAAGTTGATAAAGATTATTTTCATAATTTCGTATTTCCTCCATGGGAATATTTAACAGATGTAGCAGTAACTAATATCAGAGTAAATCGCGGTGCATCAACAACTAGTCGTCGATCTCTAGAAGTACCACAATCACAATTACAAACAACTGTAGATCGTTTACATGAACCGCACAAAAATGTAATGACTATCAATAATTCTCAAGTTGTTTTATTGCAGCCTCTACAATCTTCGGATGTTGTAGTATCAAGTAAGCAAACTGATAAGGAATTATCAATTCATAAGAATGAACAATTGTCTCAATCTAAAAAAACTCATTTATCTGAAAAAGACATTAATTTATCGGTTAACATAAGTCAGGCGAACTGTTCTTCAAAAGTGACTACTACTATTGCTTCTACTGGTTCGTCTCATATTCCACGTCGAAGAAAAGGAGTTACTAACAAAATTCCCACAAGTGAAAAAGACACTCCCTCGTCTGTCAATAACAGTAAAGAAAACTGTTCTTCTCCGAAAGTGACTACTACCACTGGTTTATCACAAACTCCAGGTCGAAAAAGAGTAACTTTGGATTCATTCCTTATACCACCTGCAAAACGATCAAACGTTAATTTATCTTCTGAAATTCAGTCAGATTAAGATTGTGTTATTTTAGACTCAAAATGATAATAATTTCACTCTCACAATATATATGTATATTGTTTGAAAATAATTGTGAATTGTCTAGGAAATATATAGCTTATGTGTGCATACCTGATTATTTAAGTTTTTCGAGACCGTGTATTGTTTAGGGTGATTTAACCCCTGCTTACCTCATTACCATCTCAATCCTCTCTTATTCCATAATAATTGTCTACTCTCTAATCTTTGTATAAAAATTAGTTTAAAGGGATAAATGCTGAAATCCATATTCCATAAGTGCTTTCCGTTATTTTTTTGGCAACATATGAAACTATGAAGTACAGTTAGATAACTGAAATATCTTCTTTATCTTCTCTCTCCCTCTTCACATATACTGTTATATTAGAAATTTTTGTAAAGATTTCACCGATTGTTTATACATATTTCATTATTTTGAAGACAAACAAAAGTAAAGTTTGATAGACTATTATTGTTTTTCTTCTCTCTGTGACCAATATGCACTTCACATTATCATCTATTTTTGTATTTTTATGTGTATTTATGATCAGCCAAAAATATGTTTCTTTATTCAACAACTTGTAGATGTTTTTTTCGAAAAAAAGCTAATAATTTTGTTTTCATCTAGTTTCTGACACATTCTGAGCAGTAATATGCAAATGTGGTTGATTAATATGGAACCCATGAAATATTTCAACGTGCTTTCAAAAAGTCATTAGTGTTAATGACATTTTTAACGCTGAGAACAAATAGTGTGAAGGCGTTCTGTTCTCTGAGCTGGATGGTTTCTGTAGTGAAGCGTTCATTATCTTTTTAGACAACATTACTGACGTATATTCCATAAAGAAATGAGCTAATATGAAGTCATGGAAAAAAAACCAAAACAAACCCGTGAACGACCATACGACCAACTGATTAAACTATAGGTTAACAGGTTTTAGTCGATTGTGTTTAGTTTCCAGTGGATCTCTTTCTGAAGTACATTCTGATTATATTGTTCAGAAAGACAATTAGAGCTTTCATACTAAAGCATTCAGTTCAGAGAACAAAATACTTCAAAAATGTGATGTTTTGTTTGATTATTTCACTGGGAATTGTAAAAGAAATGTAATGGAGCTTGTTCTCTGTAACTTTAAGATAAATTTCTTCGGGGACACCGATAACCGGTTCACATCGGACACCACTTTCTCTCTAGTTTGAGACTTCAGTGCTCACTCACAACTCAAGACCTTCCGACCTCACGGCATACTAGGATATTTTCAGGAGACCGAGTTGGAGAACTGCTATGTTTGAAGAGGTCACAAGTTCACCTAATCTGCGAACAGAATGAAGACGCAGTGACACAATGAACATATTCATTGTTTTGCTTTATGGGACCACAGATGAAGACTGAAATTTTACACTAAATCTCTCATATATACTTTTTTTTATATTTCCAAAAATCAACTTTTGTCATGCTTCTTGGCTGATAATTTTGAATATTTTTACTCACTGAATCAAATATTGCCTTGTAAAATATTGATAAGTATGGTGTTGGCCTTTGATAAGTATGGCCCTTTGATCAAAGGCCAACAATCGTAGTGTTTCTTGACATCAGGGCTGCCTTCGATTCGTTGGATAGGACTGTTCTCTGGGATTGTCTATTGAAGAAGGGTGTGCCTGAGAAGTTTATTAACATCCTGAAAGCCCTATATAAAAACACCTCAGGCAGAGTGAGGGCATACGACCACCTTTCTCCATTGTTCCATTCGAGTAGTGGGGTTAGGCAGGGTTGCCCAATCTCACCATTCCTCTTCAACTTTGCCATCGATGACATTCTGGAAACAGCTCTGATGAATGTAAGTAATGTTGGTGTGGACCCGTTGCCTGGAGAAAGACTTCTCGACCTTGAGTATGCGGATGATATTGTCTTACTGTGCGATAATGCCCAAGGCATGCAATCCGCACTTAATCAGTTGGCAATCAGTGTCCGTAGGTATGGTATGTGCTTTGCACCTTCGAAGTGCAAAGTACTCCTACAAGACTGGCAGGATTCCAATCCTGTACTCACCCTGGATGGTGAGCAGATAGACGTAGTCGAGAAGTTCGTGTATCTGAGTAGCTGCATAAGTGCTGGTGGGGGTGTGAGTGATGAGATCAATGCACGTATAGTGAAAGCCAGAGCGGCTTATGCCAATCTGGGCCATCTATGGCGCCTTCGTGATGTTAGTCTGGCCGTAAAAGGTCGGGTTTACAACGCGTCGGTGAGAGCAGTTTTGCCCTATGCTTGTGAAACCTGGCCTCTCCGAGTCGAGGACGTTAGATGACTCTCTGTGTTTGATCGTCGTTTTCTCCGAATGATTGCTGACATCCATTGACAACCCCATGTTAGTAATGCAGAGGTTCAACATCGTGTGTTCGGGCACAGAGATGATAATGCAATCGATGTCACCATCTTGAAACACCGACTTCGGTGGCTTGGATATGTTCTACGAATGTCGTCTCAGAGAATTCCACGTCGTGCATTATTTGCCGACTCTGGGACTGGTTGGAAGAAGCGGAGATGTGGTCAGTGTATGACATGGTGTCGTGGGATGAAAGAAATCTGCAAAGGGTTGACTCCAGTTGGTCCTTCACGACTCCCTGGTTGGGGTCTGAGAGATGGTGCTACACAGTGGCTAGAGACGTTATCAGATATTGCTCAGAATAGATGCTAGTGGCGATCCTGCTGTAACCTTCTTTTACTTTCTTCATAAAAAGTGGTTGTGTCTCCCTCACCTGAAAGATTTCTTCTGATTGTACTTTTACTTTTCCACTATTATTATTAATATTACTACACTACCTTACAATAATCTGTACGTTACTGTTTTTTTCACGCTCTTTACTTTATTTTTGTTGCGCTCCTTGGTTTTTTTTCTACTTCTCTTCGAATTCTCATTGTTTTGTGTCGCGCATATATATTGACGCTCTCTTGTACCAATATTCATGTGTTCAAATAATAAATAATAATAATAATGTAAAATATTTGTAAATATAATTGGAGCGAGAAGAAAGTGAATAGTATTAATTAATACATTTTATCTACTGCATGGTTTGGATAAATGTTTGTGATTATTTGAAAAAAAGGGAGAGTGTCTTTTTAGTTATATTTTAAACTATATATATGTTAATGCTTCACGTACTAATGATTCCCACTCACAGCCTCTGTCTACGATCACGACGATGTCGGTCACGTGATTTTGTACTAGATTTACGTTGTCCCAAGAAAACAGTACGAATTTAATGTCCACTAGCTTGAGCTAATATCCATTGTTCCATGTTAGTATTCAGTTGTACCACCTTAGCAAGGGATATTAGTAAAATTAATCTGATCTAAAACAAAAAGATCATGATTGAGAATTGAATATTAAATGGATTATATTAGATTTGGTGTGATGTAGTTATTTTTGTTCGTCTTATTGAAACCTAAGAACAAGTTTATGGTTACGATACCCCTGTCCTTTTAAATATATACCTTTGTTGAAAGTGATTATATCCTTGATATCAGATCTAGATAGTCATTATTTCGTAATTTATTTGTTAGAATTTAAGATATCTTCTTGATCCTGAACAGAAATCATTGTCCAGTTATTTCACCAAATTATTTTGTGTCCCACTCTTAACTTCTTAATGCTGCTTTAAATGAATGGTCAACATTGGTGTTGATTTTAACCCCGAGTAAATGGCGTTATTTTTCAGATATCCTAAGTTTAAAATCTCACTCACCCTTTACCTAAGGTGCTACTTCATTAAACCACTATTCAAGTGTGAGGTTTGCATAGATTGTTGACTTTTTCGTTTACATCAATGACTGTAATGACTTCGACAACTATAGAAAATCGGGGACCACTAGACAGGTTCTGGGTATCACCTCTGGTGCAGAGGAGTATGCTCACGTATGAGGAAGTACCTCTAGGAAGTAGAGGGTTTATAGTGTTTCTTGGTCTTCAATGTTTTTCAAATTATACAATTATATGTATCTATTTCATTCGAATTGCTTTGAATATCGTCCCAATAATCACAAATGCTAACTCACAGAAAAACTAGAATATGATAAATTGAACTACTTTCATTCTTTTTGTACTGTCTGAATTCTTGTATTTGAATGCTTGAAACTTAGTTTTATTCTGGATTTTACAGTTTACCTGCTGGTAAAGTTCATGCTTTATTGTGGGTAATGGTATGTTTTTTATTTAAATATAAGCTGTTGATTATTCTTCTGTATAACATATTGATGTGGACAAAACGTGTTATAAAATAATACATGTCGAAATGGTTTCAGTAATTCTGCTATGAATTTACGATTTTTGAAGATCGTATGGCAGATTTTATGATTCAATGTACACACATCAATTACATGAACTAGAAAAAGCGATGATTTTGGTGTTTTCAAACCGAAATACAAATTCTAGTGGTATGGTGAACTGAAGGAATAAAGCTACAATCAATCTTTTTAATATGATATGAAATGAAGGCTTGTTTGCTTGTTGGCAAATTTGATCGAAATTATCTACCGGATATTCTAATCGTTTCTTACAAAGCTACTTATATGCGCATATAAGTAGTACCATGTGATTCTCATAAATATGAGAAGTATCGTACTTGATTAAATGGGGAAAAAAACTTACTTGATCTTGCATTTGTGATACAGCCTTGACAATACATGATAACGCTTGTTGACTTTCACTCATAAATTGACGAACATGAGATATTTCTTCTTTAATACGAGCATTACCATAGGCCCCCGAATGCTCTGGTATGGCCGAGAGTGGGGTGGGCTCGCCCTCCCTCTCGAAATGCTCTCGCACGGTCACGCGTATACAGCCTCTGCCAGAGAAGTCCTACTCACTGCCTTCTAGCGGCGGGGGTGTTTACGAAAATGAGAGGACGAAAAGCGAATGTCCGGCGCTTTTACCGGATCTGAAACCAATGGTGCACATGGGCTCCAGTATCCTGTGGGAACAAATGGCGTATGAACCAAT